CTTACTGCTCAGGAGGAACAATGGGAGCATTGCTATGATCATCCATCTCCAGGAATGCACTGAGCTGTCATTTAACCCCAATGACACTTTGTTTCACTTAGTCAAGTAGGTTCCACCTTGGAACTTGTGTAGCTTTTTTTAAATTTTATTTTATTTCATTTACTTCATTAGTTATGCAGTGTTCCCAAAGTGAGGTACGCGTACCCCCAGGGGTATGGGAAGAGTTTGGTAGGATATGCACTGCACCGTGCTTAGCTGCGCCTAATTCTACGTTCTCGTGAGTACGAGGGGTACACAGCGTTACCAAAATTATAGAAGGGGTACACATATGTCAATAGTTTGGGAAACACTGGATTAAGGTATTACATATGTGTCCTTATCCCACCATAGTATCCCCCGCCCCCCCCCGCTTGTGTCCATTGATCATGCTTATATGCATGATTATATACAAGTTCTTTGGTTATCTCTCCCCCTGACACTTACACTCTCCTATGTTCCCCCTGAGATTTGACAGTCTGATCAATGCTTCTCTGTCTCTGGATCTGTTTGTGTTCGTCAGTTTATGTTGTTCATTATATTCCACAAATGAGTGAGATCATGTGATCTTTATCTTTCTCTGACTGACTCATTTTGCTTAGCATAATGCTCTCTAGGTCTATCCATGCTGTTGCAAATGGTAGGAGCTCCTTCTTTTTTACAGCAGTGTAGTCTTCCATTGTGTGTGTAGCTTCTTAAACTGTGAGCTCTGATGTCCTGGTGAATGGGTTTCTGTTTGAATCTTGCCCCTATAGAGCCCTTTACTGTGTTTTTTTGTTTGTTTTTTTTTGCACAGAGACAATGTTTATTAAGTTGTTGTTTGCATGGGTTAAGAGAGTGAGTCAAAGGTAGTTCTCAGGTACATCGAGTTTCACTTAATACAGAGCTCTAATATCTTCTGAATACAAAGGTCTTCATAAGACACTTTTTACAAAAGCACACTTTGGATGAGGCAGGGGAAGAAAGGCTCCACATGAATGCATTGGAGACCTAGAGAAATCTTAGCAAACTTTGGGAGACCAGGAGACAGACCTTTTTTGGAGGGACAATGCAATAGGGATGCTTCCAGAGATTCTACTTTATATTTAAAAATAGACTTCCTTTATTAATTGAAAATTGAAAATCTTTATTTTAAATGCACTCACATGATATGAGTATTTGAAGATTCCCCCCCCCTCTCTCCATACTTTAGCTTCTTTCTTCTCTATTACCAGGCAAGCTTATCTTCTTTAAAAAATATATATTTTATTGATTTTATACAGAGAGGAAGGGAGAGAGATAGAGAGTTAGAAACATCGATGAGAGAGTCATCGATCAGCTGCCTCTTGCACACCCCCTACAGCTGCCTCTTGCACACCCCTTACCGGGGATATGCCTGCAACCAAGGTACATGCCCTAGACCTGAATCAAACCCGGGATCCTTCAGTCCCCAAGCCGACGCTCTATCCATTGAGCCAAACTGGTCCCGGCCAAGCTTATCTTAAAAGCACATCTTATCCCAACAAAAAAGATATCAGTCTATGTTTCTCACTAAATACCCTTTTATAAATGTCCCTTCCTCTCTATCTTAAATATAAAATATTTAAAAGAAAGTTCCCATTGTAATAGAGTGCCCATTTATGATCTAGATATGCTGTAGGTGAGCAATTTTCAACCTTTTTCATGTGATGGCACACAAAAACTAATTACTAAAATTCTGTGGCACACCAAAAAAAATATTTTTTGCCGATATGACAAAAATAGCTATCATGTTTATTAATCCACACCAGATTGCTATTGTTGTGTTGGTTGTTGCCATTTTTTTTTTTTAATTTGCCAATCTAAGGGAAATGAGTCAGGTATTGCATGTTTTTAAAATGTTTTTCAGCATTTACTGCACATTCTTGTTTTTATTGCTGGATTTTGGCTGGAGTCTTTGATAACTTATCTCCAGCATGTTTACTGAATTTTCAGTCAGCTTTCTCAGGATTAAACTATCCTTCACTTTCAGAGATAGGTACAGCTAACCAGATATTTCTTTCTACAAAAATGCTATTCCAAGGGCAGTTGCTGTACCAGCAGCAACCAAAATGAGTGTACAATTTACTTTAAAAGATTATCTTTTGTTAGGTAATGCATGAGTTCACTTAAAAACATAGGAGAGGAGTAAATCCATCCCAGACTCTCTATCTGTCATGAATTTCTCCTTTCCAGACACAACCATTGTGAGCAGGTCCTGGTGAATCCTGATAGGTACAAATTATCATTTTGAAGCAATTGTATATAACATTGTAGATAATAATTTATTAAAAATAGTTCTAAATACCAATACCTATTCTTCATTGTACACTCACTATATTTCAAATGTTTTACATACAGTGTCTTACTGAATAGCAAGAATGAATAATGAATGAATGCAAGAATGCCCATCAGATGTGTTAGGTTTGTTTTGTTTTGGGTGTGATTTGTTCATATTTTGTGAATATTTCAAGACTCCCTATTTTTCAGAAGAGAAAACAGATATTTGGTATGATAACAGGACTAATAGCTGGGAGGCTGGGATTTCAGGGTGGATATATGGGGTGTCAAAGCCCACTCCCTTTGGTTTTAAAATGCTGAATTGCTTCTCTTATAATAACAAACTCTGGATTAGTAAGGACGCTTTTGCATTTGTTCCTCTTCCTTAATTGATTTGCCCTTGTTAACATTCTAGTGTTATTATTTTAATAATCACCTGAGTATTTTATTTTATTTGAGAGAGAGAGAGAGAGAGAGAGAGAGAGAGAGAGAGAGAGAGAGAGAGAGAAACATCAATATGAGAGAGAAAAATCCATCAGTATGTGCCCTGAGAGTCCCAACTTGGGGTGGAACAGGCAACCTAGGTCCTGACAGGAATCCGACCAGCAACCTGTTGGTGTATGGGGTGCTAACTGAGCCACCCGGCCAGGGAGGGCCCCTGGTGAACATTCTAATACTTGTTCAGAGTCATTGACGTTGAAGGAGAGGCTCTCTAGTGAGACACAAGGAAAAGACCCCTAGCCCACCCTGCCCCTTGGAATTGGACCTCAACAGCTACAGCTTCCAGGGCTGGGAAGCTCAGTTGGTTACAGCATTCTCCACGTAGGCCGAGGTTGCAGCTTCGTCCTCGATGGGCACATACAGGAATCAACCAATTAATGCGCATATAAGTGGGCAGCAAGTTGATACTCCTCTCCTTTCTCTCTCCCACCCTCTCTCACCTAAATATAAAAGATTTTTCAAAATGTGATCATTGAAATTGAGTGCTCATTTACGATCTAGGCCAGCGATTTTCATGTTATGGCACACATAAACTAATTACTAAATTCTGTGGTGCACCAAAAAAATATATATATTTTTGCCCATATGACAAAAATAGGTATCACTTTTATTAATTCACACTAGATGGATATTGTTGTGTTGCCTGTTGTCTTTTTTCTTTTTCTTTTCTTTTCTTTTTTTTTTTACAATCTAAGGGGAAAAGTCAGGTATTAAATGTTTTAAAAATTCTTGAGGCACTCTAGTTGAAAATCGTTGTTCTAGATAATCCTCCTCTTCTAACTGCTCGTTTGCCTAAATTTGATTTAAAAAAAAAAAATGGTGATGGAGAAGGGTGAGGGGTAGAGTTTCTCCAACTCCTGGGAGCGGTGAGGAAGAGGTTAAGCTGGACCAGGAGGATTTTTGAAGTCTTTGGCTGGGAAGTTCCATCTGGAGAAAGGTGCAGGGGAGCTGGGGTTGGCGAGAGAAACAAGACAAGGTCCCATCAGCTTGGATTTCTGCTTCTGAGCGGTTTTCTTCTCACCTGAGGGCGCAGTCGGGCACCTCTGGCGTGGGGATGAAATATTAAAGACCAGAACTTGCCAGGCAGGATGGAGTGAAGCCCGGGAAGCGGCGCGCGGCCCCTTTAAGTGTTCCGGGGTGGGAGGAGAGAGAGGAAACGGGAGCCGCGGGGACGCCAGGGGAAACCCACTGGCCACTGAGCCGGAGCGGAGGCGGCGTGAGAGCACAAACTTCGGACGCGGCCGGTCCCGGCGGAGCTCCGCTGTGTCGCCGCGGCCTGCGCCCCCTCCCGCGGCGGCATCCTCCTCGCCGGTCCCCCCGCCCCGGGGAGGCTCGGGTCCTGCCTCTCCGCAGCTCCCAGGTGCCGGCGCGGGCAGCCGCCCTCGGAAAGTTTGCGCCCCGGCGTCCCAGCCCGGGGAGTTCGGGGTGCCGCGCGCGCGCCCCTGCAGGCGAGGGGCCGGGGCGATGCTGAGCGCAGCCCGGGGCCGGGGGCGCGAGGCAGGCGAGCGTGTGTCCGCGGACCTGCCGCGGTGCCCGGCGCCCTGCGCAGCGCCCCAGTGATGGGAACGGGGGCCCGCCCCGGCCGCCGCACCGCCCCGTCGTCCGCTCCCGGCGCGCGCAGTCCCCCGGGCGCACCCCGGGCGCCCCGAGCCCGTCTCCCCGAGCTGCCGCCGCCGTCTCGCCTGCCTTCGCCGGGAGTGGCCAGCTGCTGACCGGGCTCGCCTGGAGACGGAGCAGCACTTTCTGGCCTCCCCGATTCATTCTCGCACCCCAACTTCGCCGCCGCCCCGCGCCTGCCCTCGCCGCGGCGCTCGGCGCACGGAGTGGGGCGCACGCCGGGAGGCTCCGCCGGAGCGGGAGGCAGGAAACCGCACCGCTGCTGCTCCGCTTCGCCTCTTTGTTGTTCTCTTTAGTGGGTCCTTGGAAGTGGCCGAGGTTCCCCGGAAACCTGGGAGCCAGAGAAGGCAAACCTCCGGATTCTCAGTCCGCAAAGTGCTCCGCGATACTGACTGGCGTCCGGAAAGGTCGACAAGTAATTTACCCCGAAAACTCCTGGCGGATTAACCCACGTTGCTTATATTAAGCCTTTGTGTATATTGCGTGTGGTGTGGCTTCATAAATTCGGGGACTCCACTTCTGCACCCTCCTCGTGGCATGAGACTGCATGCAGGATCCACCCGAGGACAATGATCGCGGAGCCTGCTCACTTTTACCTCTTTGGATTGATATGTCTCTGTTCAGGTAACCTCGCGTCTTCTCTCTGCATCCCGCATCCCTCCTGCACGCCCCTTCTCCGCTTCTCAAATCAAACCCCCAACTGCCTTTCGGCGACCTCTCCTTTCTAGGGCCGGAGGAGCTTGGTCCCTGCAAGAGTTTCGGGCAGAACGGTTTCTAGTTCGTACTTTGGGTCGTTCCTTTACCCCTATTCCTCCCCCAACCCCTACTCCAAACCCCCCCAAGCCTCATTGTAGACCTCGGCCTTTTGCCAAGTTCAGGCACGCCCAGGTCACTTGGCAAACGCAGGTCTGAGCTCAAGGGGAGGAGGAGGCGCAGTTGGCGGGGAGCTGGGGCCCCCAGGCTGAGCCGTGGTGAGTTTCATCCCCGGGCGCTTCCTTAGGGGAGCGAGGTGTGCGCCGGGGTGATCCTGTGGCTCCCAGACCCGCCTGGATTCCTGAACCTGGTCCTCCAATGCGCCCCTCCTCCTCCGAGCACAAGGGGTTATTAGTAGTTGTTTTATGTAACTAAAGTCTGTAATTAAATTTGATTCTGTAGAAACTTCAGGAAATAACTCCTTCCTAAGGTAGGATCTAAACTAGCCTCTCTGCCTGGCTGGGTTTAGAAGGAAACAGGCGGTTGCAAGTATCTGAAAGGGAACAGTTAATTGCCTGGGAATTTTCATTGGCAAAGGAAAACAGAAGGTTGAGTTTAGGATTTGGGGGATTAATTAAATATTGCTGAAACTCCCCTGATGAAGTGTTGGGAGGATGTTGCAATGGGATTCTTCTGACATTGGAGAATACACTGTATCTACACTTACTAATAGCTTTTTTTTTTTTTTTTTTTTTACACTCCCTAAGAAACTTTTACTGTGGGCGAACAGAGTCGACGCAACTTTTCTTTCTTTCCTTTTGGTAGATTCTGGTTTCAATCAAGGATCTGATTTCAGGCCCTAAAACACACACACACACACACACACACACACTGCACCTCAGGGAATTTTGTATAGTGGAATACTGAGCTTCAAGTTGCATCAGGGCCTATAGGTTAAAGTCACTCAATTTGCTTGATTATGAAATAGTTTTGAAAGTTTGGTTTGAGCTTTTTTTGTGCTCCGTGGCTATGGTTTATATTTTGACCAAGGATTTTTACTTAAGTTAATGAAATATGAGAAAGAAAAATGCACATCAGCTAAATAATAGCAAATGAACTCCTACAATAATTTCAGCCCAGGAACATTTGCAACTAAACTAAATAAGAAGTTCATTAAAGTGAGGAAAACAGAATACTGAAGTTCCAGCCTCCGATATTTGACCTGTGTTACAGTGGATGGATCAATAGATTAAGCCAAGTCTTGGGGGCCACCTCTTCTTACTTCCAACTTCTTTCTGTAATGTAGCTTTTTGCTTTTTTTTTTTTCTTAGTTTGCAGATCTGAATGATTGAATAGTTCCCCACCCCCAAGACTGGCCATGCATGCAAATCAAAAACATTAAGATCTGATCTCTCTATTTGCCTCTCTTTGCTGTGTCTCCCCTTAGTTTAATTTATAGCTTCAGATACCTTTGAGATTTTGTTGATTCACCTTCTCAGTTAAAGTTTATTCACGTGTGTAAAGTGAAGTGTCAGTGTGATAAATGACTGGAGGGGCAGATTACTGAAGATAGGGGGATTAATGGTCATTAGTCACTGTTTGAGCTGAGTTTGTATATGTTGGGACATTTTATCATGGCTGTAGATTAAAGATAGAGTCACACTAATAGGGAGGGTATTTAATACTGAAAGCTGGTTGTTTTCCTGTGCACATTTTGTCTTCACTTGGAAAAAAATGTCTGGGGAGGGGGTTTACTGTCCTTTCAGATTTAATAATTTGATTAGTAGTTAGTTTAGTATCTGGGGTTTATAATTTAAATAGATGAGGCATTTATCATCTTAGACTTAAACTGATTTCTGGCTTTTTTTTTTTTTTTTTTTTTTTTCTGATTTAACTCTCTATTTAAGCCACTGATGATGTTTAATAAACCTGAGGTTTTTCCTGTAGGTGTGCTTATCTTCCTCTTTGGCCAGGCTGCAGGTCAGAGTGCATTTGTGAAGTGCTCTCTCATATTTAACCTGAAGCCCTTAATCATTCCTCTGATGGCTTACACTCATGCTGTGAATCTGAATTTGAGAGGCCAAATTATTAGGCTGCTGGGATGATTTCATGGCAGTGTGCTAATCTAAAGCCACACTATTGATTTGAATAAAACTTCACAGAACTCAGAGAAGTAGATGTGGGCGTGCTCAAGACACCTGGTCAGGGAATGAATGAAGTTCTTGAAAGGTTGTGTTTCATGTATTGCCTCAAGCATAAGATCACAGTCTATCACTTGTTAATGGAGTGTATTTAAGAGAAATGTGGTGAGCTTAAATAAATCAAAGCGCACTGGGGGTAAGGTGCCTTCAACAAGATTTAACCTGTAAAAGCATCTATTGGTTGTCAGTTCTTCTTTTCTTTCTTTTTATCATGGATGCCAACTTAACAAAGTCCTATAGTTTTCTTCAAACAGATTATAAACTGCATTTTAATGTGTTGATGGCATACTTAACATCAAATTCTATGTTTAAGAGTATGTGTTTGCTTTGTGGTGCCTTCTTTTATTAATCCAATACTATAATATATAACCTTTTTACTCTAGGAAACCAACATTTTGAAGAAAAATAGGTGTTTCTTTAAAAATTCATTTTTAAGGTGATTTTTTTTTTTTGTGTGTGATTGTATATCTGAGTTCTCTATGGATAGCTAGACTTTTGGTGAAGAGAGCAGGGTGGGAAGCACTAAAACAGAACCCTGTGATCTCTCAGGAAGTGGTTCCTTCATTGACTTCCTCCCCTCAACTCCAGTTGCTCAACTTGCTTTTAAGTGAAGAAGTGAATGAATTTCAATTCAAATTTAAAGTGAGAGCTGATTTTCAAATAAAGAGGAGGTTCATTTGTGCTATCTTTTCCCCCTTCTTTCTTTTTCTTTTAGAGGGCGAGTTTTCTTTGTTTTTGAAGAGGAACATTTTTTTAGAAAAGAGTTGCACTGTTGGAGCCACTTATCTGGGTCATTTATCTCTTTTACTTCCCTCTTCCTTCTTTTCTCCCCCTGTCCTCTCCCTCTCTGGCAAGATTTTTTTTGGCAATTCTAATAATTTCTTCTTATTATCTTTATAAACTTTCTGGCTTTTAAATATACTTACCTGAATACTTTGGTGGCACTGAAAATATTCTTACATCTTTTTTTTTTTTTTTAAAAATATATTTTATTGATTTTGTACAGAGAGGAAGGGAGAGAGAGAGTTAGAAACATCAATGAGAGAGAGTCATGATCAGCTGCCTCTTGCACACCCCCTACTGGGGATGTGCCCGCAACCAAGGTACATGCCCTTGACCGGAATCGAACCTGGGACCTTTCAGTCCCCAACACGACGCTCTATCCACTGAGCCAAACCGGTTTCAGCTATTCTTACATCTTGATAGTAGGTCCTCTAGCACATGGCATTTGTTTGCTTGTTTTTATATTTTACAGTGAGTAGATATCTATCATGGAAAATACTGGGCAACAGGAATAAGATTGGAGGAAACAGAATGACAGTTTACCAGTGGAGATCATAAATAGTTGAGTCTTCACTTGTTATCTTCTGTGTTAACAATTTCCAGCCCCTTGAAAAGCATGTTTACTTCTTAAAATAAAAGTGTAACTGCCTTGCAAGCTTGATTTTTTTAATATGAAAAATAAGGAAATAAAAATTGTTATTCAATTAAAAATTAGACCTAAGGTCATCTTCAGAGTAAACTAAGAAATTTGGTAGTAAGAAAGGCTGAGTGGGGGTTGGGGGGAAGAGGAGAGTCAAACCAAAAATAGAACCAGAATTTAGCTAGTTTAAAAATATAGGAAGAGGTGGAGTGGAAATAGAGCAGCCAAAATCTAAGTGTACCCTCTGACCACACACAACTTGGAAAACATCTCTGAAAACTGGATTTCTGAAAATTTGATGTCAGCATATATACTCTGTACTTACCAACTACATAAAGTAGACATTTTTCATTTTTTTAAAACAAAACATTTTGAAATGTTTAAATCTTTCATGAATTCATAGACTAGTTTTTTAGAGCTACATTTAATAAGACTTTAGAATATTGACTACCTCAATATATAGAGTAAAAACTAAGTAGTTATCTTTTATCTTCTATATCATAACATCTTTGCGTAGAACAGACTAATCAAAGCAAAAGAAGGAAATTAAAAAATGAGATTGCTTTTGATCTCTGGGGTCCTATAAGACACTTTATGACAATAACTCCTACTATTGCTATGATGGTATGATCATAATTTACTAGAGGCCTGATGCATGAAATCCATACACTGGGAGGGTGGTGAGGGAGGGACTCACTCAGCCTGGCCTGCATCCTCTTGCAGCAAAGAAGCCCTTGGGGGATGTCTGAGTGACACCGAGGCAGGAGAGGCTCCCACTGCAATCGCCACTGCAATCGCCACTGCAATCGCCACTGCAATCGCCACTGCAATCGCCAGCTGGGAGCCTGGCTTCTGGCTGAGCGGTGCTCCCCTGTGAGAGTGCACTGACCACCAGGGGGCAGCTCCTGTGTTGAGCGCCCCTGATAGTCAGTGCACATCATAGTAACTGGTCATTCTGCCGTTCAGACAATTTGCATATTAGCCTTTTATTATATAGGATTGAACACTCACTATTATCTTAATGCTTATAAGAATCCTATGGCATAGGTGCTGTTATTAGTAAAATATTACCCTACCCTTATTTTATGGTTGTGGAAAATACATCATTGAGAGTTAGGAGATGTGGAGGAGCATGGATTTGAATGAAGTTGATTCTAAAATTCTTAACTACCATGCACTTTTGTAGTTAAAAAGGAGAGAGGAAGAATTTAAACCAGAAACCTTGTGGCTCAATCATTTTTTATTTTAAAACGTGTCCCCAAAAATCCACCTAAATAAGATGTGGTTTGAGCACTTAGGATTTTGAA